AAAAACTTGTGTTTCAAGGATTGCCCACAGAATATATAGAATAATGTTCAAATTAAACAATCTATATTGAATTTAAATTGAGTTTACTTATAATTGGATTTAAATTTAAATTATAATATAGCGCGTAACACTCGAATAGATCACATGTAGAAATGATATAAACGTTTTTCAATCGGATTACGATTTGACTGATGGTAGAATCAAGTCAGAGTTTGTGTACACGTCCGCCGAAGAAACTAATTTCAAAAATTAGGTTTTACAAAAAATTTATTCATTTTTTTTAGTGCATATTATCAAATTATCAACAATGTTAATGCAGCAGAATTCACAACAATATTAGATGAGTTTTAAAAATTTGTTGGCCTGGATTTTCACACCTAAAAAAGCTGCACAAGTTTCAATACTTAAATATTGCTTCAAGTTTCAGTGAATTTAAACTATCAGGGTGTCTATACTAATTGGATTTAAAAATAGATAATTTTTAATATCCATAATAATTCATTTCTAATAATGTTTTACGAGGTTTTTATAAATTATTACTCAACATAAAAAAACGGATGTAAAAAATTACAACGAAATAGTTGATTTTTGTTGTTGTTATTAATAGCAAAGAAAGTAGTCTTCTGAAATGCGAATATGCTCGAAAGGGTGTTTTCGATAATTTAATTCAGTTAGTAATCTAACAATAAGTTAGGAGTGCAACAAATTTTACAGAAAAGATCACTTATCTATCTCACGTCATCAGCGTCATCCATGTGGAAATTGAAAGTTGGGCCTGCAAGAGCCCCTCTCGTGGTTTATTCTCCTACCGCATAGTGTCAAAGTGTATGGGGCAAAACTCTGTCGACTATGATAGGTAACGAGGGTTTGGGTTAGCTTTCAGGGGCCAATAAAATGGGCCTTTCCTCTCTAGACGTTTATATAACTTGAGTTGGAAACTTCACTAATGACTATAAGCGAATTTGTATTATTTTTAAATTTCTCTTCCTTAACAAGCTCCGTAGAGCATTTTCCTATATAAAAAAGCAATTTAAAAACGTATAAAGTTTTACGAGGAAAGTTGGCGAGGAACAATTAGATTGAAAAAGGTTCCTCTATTCAGCAACGAGTGGCCCTTACGCGATGGCCCTAACAGATTTGCTCTCGAGAGCCTCTTGTGCAACCACACTGCTTAACAAGGCATGGCGAGCGTTTTCCACACGGACAGGTCAGATATATGTATTGCTCTTCAGTGACCCCTTCCTACAAGCACAAAAAAAACTGTTTCATCTACGAAAAATGTCAAGAATCCCAAAAGAGAACAATTTCAAGCATTTTTAGCCGCAACCATTACAAAGAAATCGTTTATACCGAATTTCCAAAAATTGGCTTACAGATACGGAACTGCAACTGAGTCAAAGAGTTTCGGTGCACTGAAGGTAAACTTTAAAGGTACTTTAAAGGTACTTTAAAGGTGCTTTAAAGGTAAACGATTAATGTGTTTAATAATAAATATAGTAATGGAAGAAGCAAATGAGAGAAAACGTGCTCCAACCATGTGCCGACGGTCCAACATCAATGGAGCTTTCCCGGAACAGCTTATATTCTATTGGTCATTTTTAAATATCGGTTCGTATACTCAAACAAATTTTCTTCTATAGATCACAACACGAGTTTGTGAAATGCACATATTTCTATAAGCCAAATCCACTGATTCGTGTAGTTGTACCTGGTTAAAGAAAAATCACAGGAAATCTTATGCACGTCGTCTGTTCAAGCGGTTGACAGATGAATGCGATAACTTATGTTTTTTCGCTTTTTAAAAATTCAATGTACGTTGAAAACTTCGGGGAAAATGTTTCATATATGAAAGACGTTAACAGAATATCAGTCATGCATTATCTTTTTGACGAAAATTTTCTTTTCTTATAAATAAGTTTAACTGATATAACCTAAGATAAAATATACGCGACATTGCATATACTTTATTTTTTAATAGTAACACAATTTTCTTAAAAGTATCAATCTGATACTAAAGTGGATCTAATTGATACCAAAAATTATCCATTTTTGGTTTGATTCATATTTTTGGTATCAATTTTTGATTATTTGTTGCAATTTGGTACTTTTATGTTATAACAGTTAAAACAAAAAAAAATCAGAAAACCAGTATAAAACTAAAATAAACAAATATAATTTCAATTACAACAACAAATATAATTTTAGTTGACGCACATAAGCTTATAGATTACCAAAAAGGTAGATAAAACATTTGTAACTATAAAAACTTGAAGAGCAGTTTTCGGATCACTGCGAATTAAGAAAAAATCCCTTAATCAGCTCTATTTTTCTACATGTATAAGCTAATCCTGTATACATATATACCTTGTTCGTTAAGAACTTTAACTTTTTAACTCACTTGTCCAAGACAATTGAGTTCAATGCAATCCTATTTATTTTCTTATTTCCTTAAATCCTTTTCTATATAAACATGCATTTATCCATTGTTCGTTCTCGCGTCTTTATACAATCGCGCATTCGCATCTGTTTATCTTAATCTATACTTTTGAAGAATGTCTTTCCGTTTATATTTCAAATGTTGTTTACAGACTTTGAAAATAATTTGTCAGGGTTGCCACAAAAATTTTATTTTATTTTTCCTTGACTTTTCCCTGATTTCCAGACAAAATTTTCACTTTTTCCCTGACCCTAAAGAATATTCTGATTCACTCTCAAAATTATTAGATTACTCAAAAAAATGTTTGTAATATACATTTATTTCTGAATATCTTTGATTGTCTATAGAATTACTTGGAACTTAAATAGATAATTTTTAAATAAATATTTAAACTTTAATATTTTTCCATAGGAATTAAGATTTTTAAAAATTTCAAATTCAAACGTTTTAAAATTCAATAACTTAGAAGAATATTATTATAAATTTATTTTATTTATTTTATAACAATGAAAGATGACAGATAAAATTATTATTTTATATTTTAAGAATATTGTTACTGAAACGTCTTTAAAATCATTTTCATAATTTTAAACTAAAATTCTTCTTAAAGTTAATTATTTTTAATAATTTCTGAAAAAAGTTTTTTGAGAATTTTCAAATTCATTTCAGATTTTTAAAGATTTTAATTTGAGATCTTTTTAAAATTCAATTATTTCTAAAAATTCACACTATAATGCTTTTAATATTTAATTATTATCTAAAATTTTAACTAAAATACATTTTTATGTCAATTTCATTATATAGAAAATGCTATGAGAGTTCAATTCTTTAAATACAACAATAAATAATTTTTTAAAGAATAATTGAATGTTTCTTAAAATTGAATTCTCATAAAGAATTTTATCAATAAATTTTTAAATAATTGAATTCTTTTGACGAATTTGAATAAAATTTTTATGAATAATTTTATTTTTCAAGGAATTTGATTAAAATTGTATATTAAAAATAATTGAAATTCTGCTATCAGTTTTATTATTTATATGAAAATAATTGAATTCCTAAAGAGAATTTTATTAATTTATGAAAATAATAAAATCCATTGAGAATTGAGGAAAATTTTTGAAAATAATTGAATTTTGGAGAGGAATTTTAATATTTATAAAGATAATTGAAATTTTACGAGAATTTTCAAAAATTTTTAAATATAATTAAATTTCAGTGAAGAATTTTATTACTTTTGAAAATAATTGAATTTCTGCAATTGAAATTTTCTGAAATTTGAGACTATAATCTTTTGAAGTTCATTTATTTGTGAAAATTCTAAACTAAACTCTTGAAATTCAATTAATTTTGAAATATTTAAGTAAAATTATTCATAAAATAATTTATAAGTAATAATTTGATGATGGTTCTTGAAGACTGAACATTTTAAAAATTTAAAGATGCTGACCTTTAAATTGCAATATTTTTAAAGTTAAGAAATGCAAACATCTAAACAAATATGGCGGATTCGCGAATAGAAATTATTGTTAGGCCAGTATTTTTATTGTCACTCTATCACATTTTCCAAAAATTTGAAATGGCGTTGCGGGAATATAAGCTAATACTCAGTGGGAAAATTTTACTGATTTATTGGCATATGCGCTAATTAAAATTAGCGATATGCGAATATGTCGATTTTCGCAAAATCAGTTTCAGAAATTAATTAGATTACAATTATTAAAGTTGAGAGAAAAGAAATATTTTTGGATAATTTGTTCGCCTATTGTTGTGAATGGATCTATATATGAAAAGCATATTTTTTCGTTCGGCTATGACAGGAGAAAAGTTGTTGTCGTTAAACTTTATAAATTGCCATAAAAGCAAACTCGGGTACTTTTCTCCTCTATTTTAAATTTGAAACTTGTATGCATGTGTTGGCTGTCATATAAGCAGCCAATAGTCATGAGGAAGAAAGATATTTTTTTACTATATGTATGACAATGTGAATTGTGACGAACTAGCCAATAATAACGACGGCAGAAATGATAATAACAATAACAACAACAGCGGGACCCAATTTGAAAGGCATAGCATAGATTCATAGGATCGCGCCCCTAGCCACATTGTACGGAGGATTACAGGGGTGTGTACTACGTTGTGGCATATAAGGGGGACTTTTCAGTCCCCTCTTGTCTCTTTTCTCCGCCCTGTTACCTACCGCACGCACACACACACTCCTGCACATCACTCGCACTCCACGATTACAATTGTATCACATCTACAGTTTGTGCAATCCTCACTGTTACACATAATTTCAGTTTACAGTATAGAAATACGTTTTTGTGTACAGTATATCAACTAAAGAATCCCAGGGGTGATTCGCCTGAGTGCCCAGATCTCTCGTTCGCCCTTCTTTACCAGAATGAAATCGCTGTTATTGTTGCGATTTAATGAAATGTTACGCCCATCCGCCCGCGATTATTTTCTCATTGCACCGATTAACTCTTATTCAGCGCCTCAAATTCGAATAAAATAATTCCCAATATTCCTTTTCCATTAACGTTGTCCTTGTGTGTTTCAGGTCTGGTTCAAGAACAGAAGAGCAAAGTGCAGGCAGCAACAGCAGCAACAGCAGCAGCAGCAGACCGTGGCCCCCAGGCGACCGGCCTCGCGGTCGTCCTCCTCGTCGAGCGCCAAGATTCCGCCCGCGACCACGAGGAGAACGCCACCCGTCTCGCCGCCCCGAGGGAAGGAGGCCCCGGGCTCCAACTCGCCCCTCTTGTCCGTCAACTCGTCATACCCCAGACTGGGCTCGACGCCGACCGGCAGCAGCAACACGAGCAGCGCCCTGACGACGCCGTCTCCGCCCCTGACCCCCGGCTCCAGCCAGTTGACGCCGTCTTCATATCCACCTTCTGTAAATCAAATCCACCACAGCGACTACGGCTTCGCCTGGAGCTCCGCTTCCCCGGGCGCCGTCAACCCCAGCCAGTGCTACGCCAGCCAGCCCTACAACAGCTACCAGAACCCCTACACGCCAGGCGACTACTACCAGTCGCAGATCTCGCATATGCACCACAGTCCGCAGAGCAACTACCACCATCCGCAGTACCACCACAACGTCACCCTCACGTCCTCCATGTCCCACCTCACCGGCCACCACCTCAACTCCTCCTCCAACGACATCACCTCCTGTCCGGCCGAGTCATCAGATTACATTCTCCCGGATCAGAAGTATCAGGTGGTTTAGCAGTTCTCAAGATCCTTCAACTGTAGAAAAGACTCTGACTTTCTTTATCATTCTTGGCGAATGAATCTCCGAGAAGCGGATTTTTCAAAACTAAGTGCTTTTGATAATAGTGAACCGGACGACAATTTGGATTCTGACGACGATGATTGATCAAAGTGCGAATAGCCCCACGAGTACTCTTTTTGCCAAAAGTGATCCAGTGGTTATGAACACTAATTGTAAAATTCAATGAACACGACCTTAATTTATGTACAATCAATAATTTTCGTTATTCATTCAAAGTTGTCTTTTTTAATTATGTAATAATTTTAACTCGTAAGATTTGAAATTGTATCGACAATACATGTCCTATATATAAAACACACTGTGCGACAAAGAAAGTGCCAAGTGCTTTCTTCAAAATATTCTTCGTTTTCTTGGAGAAATGAATTATATATGTATGTTACAGTGCGGCAATTCTCGTCTTCACGAGATATACTTGCGGTTGGAGGACAAAAGTTCAAATAATTCTTTCTTCCAAAAGCCAAAAGGTCCAATAATTCTTTGTTCCAAATACCAAATGGTACAACATTTTTTTTATATTCAAATTCAGAAACATTTCCGTGCTGCATTGCGTCACTTCTAAGAATTACGGAAAACAAAATGGCGGCGGTCAAATAAAACAGCTGATCCACTTGAAATTTTATAATTCTTCTAAATTCCAAATTAAACGGAATTAAATGACGATATTTTTCTAAAACAATTTTTCCCAATGGCAAGAATAGGTACGCGAAAGGAAAATTATATTAAATTTTGTAAAAGTATTTCGGTTTGTTGCACTCTTTTCCCAAATTGAGGGTTCACGTGCAATAAGGGGATACGCATGAAAGTAAAAGTCCCCGCGTACAGCGATTCTGCGGCTGCGCGAGAGGCTAACGAATAGCTTGCGCGTCCCCTTATTGCACGTGAACCCTCAATTGTAAAATACTTTTTACGAAATTTAATATATATATTTTCTCTCCGTGTATATAGTGTAAATAATATTTAATAAATATAATTCATTTCAATAATTTAATTAATAAAGTTAAATAATTCAATAGGATTATATTTATTAAAAATTTAATATTTCATTAATATTTTTTATAATTTAATTATTAATAACATATACTGTACAATTAATAATTATTATTATTTATTTAGTAACTCACACAGGACCGAGTAACTTTCCTAAAAATTTATTTGCAAACTTCGAAGTATTTACTTGCAAAGTTTAGTGAAAATTTAGTGTAAAGATTTAAATGTCCCACATCAATAAATGTTTAGTGTCAAACTTTCCTAACATTTAAATTACATTTTCGGCTACTCTATTATAAGCGAAAATTTAATTTAAGTTTTCAGCAAAGTTTTACTCTACATTTTCGCTTACAAGTCGAAAATGTAATTTAAATGTTCAGGAAAGTTTCATGCTAAATTTTTAGGAAAATTTGACGATAAACATTTATTAAAGTGGGACATTTAAATCTTTACACAATTTTCACTAAACTTTGCACTAAAGTTTGCAAGTAAATCTTTAATAAATTTTTAGGAAAATTTCGGTGCTGTGTCGTCACTTGTGTATTTTGATATTTTCAACATTGGGACTCATTTATATTATGGGACATTCTTATTTTGAAACTTTTTTAAGGGTTTACATGGGTTAAAACACTCAGATAATGCGTATGTTTGTTTAATTTTTTTTTCATAAAATAAATAAATTTTTTTATTTCAGCACTTTTAAATTTTAAAGTAAACTATTAAATCAGTAACTCGTAAAATTTTCATTTAAAAAATATTTAAATTCAGATCCGTACCAATAGGTTCTTTTGAGACCCCTTCCAAAAAAGTGGTGGTCACGACATCTTCTGACCGGTTCATCGAAAATCAAAAATCCGAATATTTTCTGTTAGTTGATAAGTGTAGCTTGTTATTCAACGAAGAAATTTTTTTTCGTTGATGAGAACCGCGATTTTACATGGTCTTAATGGTTCTAAAAATGATAAATTTGACAAAATACACTGTCAAAAATCCAAATTTCAATTTCTTTAAAAACAACCTTCATTCAATCACGAGATATATTCACGCAACAACAAAAAATTTTTTGTATTTGGATTTTAGATAAAGCATTCAAAAGATATTTTGACCACCGCAAAAGCAATTTTTGTGAAAAGGGGCCCGAAAAAACTGTTACTACCAGGCCTGATTTTTTAATATTTTTTGGCAAAAATTTTATATCTTACCTAATGTACTTTTAGATACCAAAGTGTTGAAATAAAATTATTTATTTTATGAAAAAATACGTTTTCTGGTCGTTTTGACCTATGGACTTTCTTATATTGGAATTTTTGAATTGGAACTTTTGATTTGGAACTTTTGTCCTACAATCCTTACTTGCTAAATGTCATCCAGTCTGAAATTATACTTTGCAAAGTAGATAATTTCCATAATCAGACTATAATAGAGAAGATATATACGTTAAACGTTTAAGGAGTTATTTTGTTAAATTAAATTAAATTGTATATTTATTATACAAGCAAATATATTTCAACAATCGAAAAATATCAATTAAAGCGAGTATTTTTATATAAGAAAAGTACTATTCTCTTGAAAAAAATAAAGTCTGTATTTTTAGCTTTTGTCGCACAGTGTTACGCGTGCAATGCATTGCCGATCATGCATTTTCGATCATCTAAAATCAGTTATTACTACTGCCATAAATTACGTTCTAGTATTATTATTGTTATTAAAAGTAATTCTCAGTCATATCAATGTCGGCCAGTAGCCGAAAGACTTGTAAATAAAAAAAATATAGTCTAAGAAGTTTTCAAAAAAAAGCGAGAAATTAAAAACGTTTTTAAATGTAGAAAAAAATCATTTATGACATTAGGTTATTTACTTATCTATATAGATATGGAGGTTCTTATTGCTCTCACACTTGATTTCAGCAACAATTTAAAAAATCTGTTTCGTCAAAATTCAATTTCAAGTGTGCGACGCTTATTGGCTTTAATTCCGAACTAATGGAAATTGAACTGCTGATTTAATATTGTATAAAAATCTCAACATTATTATGAGTGGTGTCACTAATGCAGTTATTGCTTTCTTTTTTCTAGTCTTTTGTAAAAAAAAATAACTGAAATTAGTTGACATTTCGAATGGAGAGTTCAATTTTTATTGGTGCAGTTTTCAAGTCGAAGAACTTTTCGAATGACATTTTGATATTTTTAAATGATATTCATTCTGTATGATAATGTTTAGAAAATGTAAGGCGATTGCAAACTAGTGGTAACTGTCTATAAAATGAAAACTATCTCTAAACCTGAAATCAGGAATCGTTTTTTGAGAAAATAAACTAGAAATCCTGATGATCTCTAGAATACTAAAAAGATTATTCTCTCCCAATCCGAAGAGAATAAGAACAAACTAATTGTTCGTCAGCAATTAAATGACCAATTGGATATAAATAAGTATTGTGTCTCTTGAAAAAACTGAAGCTTTGTATACCAAAAAATAAGTTCATAAATAAAAAATTATGAACTATTTTTGATCCCTTCTTAATGAGCTCCATATAAAACGTTCGACTTCATTAAAATTTAATTGTGAATCGAATCTCAAAATTAGTACAATTTTTTTATTCTCTGTCTAATTACAATCATAGTGAGAACAAAAACATTTTAATTTAAACTGTAAAGTTCGTCTTTTATATGTAATTTGTTTCGTACATACTTTTTCGGCAATTTTATCAAAATAGTGTAATTTTTACGCCTATTTCTTTCTTTTCTTATTGCAATGAGAAATAATTTTTAAATTCCTCACTAGAATATTAAATATTTAATTGTCATATACTTAATTTTCTGTTCATAAAGAACAATTGTTCTACTTATCATTTATTATTTTTACATATTTATAATTGCGGATCGAAGAACCGGTTATAAGTTTTCGATACTCGAAGTTCCTGACCTCTATAAAAAAAAGAATTTAGAATTTCAATTTCTTGTTAGCATTTCGCATTTTTAAAAACGAAAATGTTTCTCAAAAAATTGCGATTAAAAAACTTTTTAATTTCCGACTTACAAGGCAATGATTTTGAGCTCAAAAAAAAATTATAACCTGTTCTTCGATTGGGATTTTAAAACAAATATTTTAAACCTTCTAAACTATAAGTTTTGGAAAATCCCTCTAAACCTGATTTCCTTTATTCAAGAAATATGTTTTCAGAAAATTTGTCCTTCGATATATAACATTTTTTTTATAAACAGTTACCATTGTAATATTCCAAAAAAAAGGTTAAAAATCGTCGTACATAGTGACTTTAATTTCGTAAAACAAGAATATATATTAAGATTTGCAAATTAACAGCAAAAGCGAATATTTCTTGATAATCGTCTTAATGTATATTACTGTTAATTTCAAAGACTAAATATATTAGTTAAAAAATAAATGATTATTAAAAAATATCTATAAAAAATAAACTGTGCGCAAAACAAGCTAATTTGTAATATGTTCGGATGCAAATGTAAATATTACGTGTAAGATAGGTTTTTGTTTCCTTACATTGTATCAAGAAAAAAATTCCTACGACAAATAAATAATCCTAATAAGAATATCATTTCTAAAAATAATTGATTAATTTTCATATTAATAAGTTACATTAATTTTTGAACGAGATAGAAAAACAGCGTTTTCTCGAAACTTTTACTGCAACTCCACAGTCGATTGATTATTAAAATTGCACCTTTTTTTAAAAAAAAAATTTTCTTAAAAGTAACTGCAAGAAATATAATTTTATTTTTAAAGCAACAGAATTTTTTTTTTATAAATATGTTTTAGAATTTTCGATATTCAGATTTTTTTAATTAAACCTTAGCTACTGTGGTTTAGGGATTTTTAACGCTTTAAAGATTAGAACAGTGTTACAAAAAATAAAAAAGTGAAATTACTTTAAATCGGACCTGATCTAACTTGTTCGTCTTGAAAAACTAAAAAAAAATGGTATGTATTAAATCAAACACCCCCAAAATTTTATTTATTACATTATTAGATTATATATATATGATTAAATTCAAGATGACCGTTTTTTTATAGAAAAAATTCCAGGTTATGAATTATATTTTCCGATGATAAAGAAAATTCTCAAAATAAATTATTTCGTGAAAGTACAGTAAATATTGATAATTTATTAATCAACATAAAACATGAATATGCGAATTTGCTATAAAAATTTGTTTTTATTTTTCCCTGCGAATTTTTAAAGAAAAATGCAATTATTTTTTAAATTTTGAATAAAATTAATTATTCGCAAAATTATTTCAAAGAAATTCAATTTCAAATCTGTAAAGTTCAATTATTGTTAGAAATAGAAAGAATTTGAAATTAAATTGAATATTTTTTTTTAAATACTATTACATTGGACAACAAAATTCAGAATTTTCTTATGAGTTCTAGAAATTGAATATTTTTCCAAATACTTTTAATAAAATACCCTGACTTTTACCCGATTTCTCTGACCTGTGCAGGAACCCTGAACATGAATATTTTAAATATTTTTTGACAACATTTAATATTTTTTAATGAAATATAATTAATAAGTTTATTAAAATAAATATTTCTATTTTATTCACAAAATAACCAGTGTTTTTATTTAAAGAAAAACACTTTTTAATAAAAAATTTCAAAATTCCCGGTCAAAAAAAGTTCTGTTATTCCCCGGTTTTACAGGTTCCCGGTCCAGCGGTCACCCGGAAATTCTCTTCTCTACCCTTAAATTTTCACGTCAAATTTTCATTTATTTCAGCTATGCATTGAGTTAATTTCTTTTAATCATCAACATTATTAATTTTTTTATTTAAATATTACTGAAAGAACTCCTAATAGAAAAATTTTTAAGTCTCAATGTTAACCGCATATACTAAAGATTAATTTCTTCATAATTTTCTTGAAATGGAAAGAATTGCAAAACGTTTTGAAGAGAAATAAGTATACAATTAATTTCATCAGATCATTGCTGGATTCTAAAAAATGATGCTCCTGATTCCGCATGTACAGAAATGTCGACCA